CTCTCTAGGGCTTGTATCCAACCTTATATTCCAATGGGATTCTGACCTCCAGCAATTGACTTAGACAGAACTGCTGCTGACACCAGAGCTGACCACGCAGTCATTGAAATCACAAGTTCTCATCTACATTCAGACTCTTTCCCTTCCCACACCCCGAGACTCTGGATTCAGGGCCATACCCCGAGACTCTGGATTCAGGGCCATTCTCCTTAAACCCACTTCACTGACATCAAGCCTGTGTAGACAATGGCCACACAAACCCTCACTCAGTCACAGACTCAGTTTCTCACACGGCCCTTTCCCAACACAGCTCACAGCCGACGTCACATATGCGGGCACTTTCCCCACTCCCAACAACCAATTCTGCAGCAACTGACATGAGCTGGGTGAAATCTTGTTTCATTTATTGGTTCTGGGCCTATTTCCCTGGAGAGAGCATAAAAGCTCATTAGAAAGGCCAAGTCAACAGCATTGCCCCACTTTTGAGGCAGGAATAATACCCACAAGCTACAAATTGGGGTTCCTATGGACTAGTCTTAAATTTGCTTAATTTGCTGAGTGTCTTATGGGACTAAGGAACAGACTTTGCAGCACATTTTAAAGGACAGAAATGGCCATCCAGATGAGGAGATGTGGATGGTAAGGACTGGATGGGCCCTGAAAACATGCATTTGATCCTGAGAAGTTGGGTGCCCCTCCCAGTACATGAATAACTTTCTGCTTGACTTTATTTGACGTCCTCCTGACACGCTGTCTGGAAGTCCTGTGATCCCTGTGTTGGGGGAGGTGTGTGGGGACTTCATTTCATGGGCACGATTGCTAATAACTGGGGTGGGAATGCCACCATGGACTCTTCAGCCTTCCTTTCAGATGTGCCTGTGGCAGGACCCCTCATTGTGCAGTGAGGACCTACTATGGGATAATCACAGAGGAGAGACTTTCATTATGGCCAGCTGAAGGCAGGGAGATTGGAGTTCCTATGACCCAGCTTGGAGAAGAGAATTCTAGTTTCCGTGCCTTGAAGAGGAAGTGATGAGCCAGGAAACAGGGACAAAAACCAAATTTACCTGCACACACACAGATCCCCTACTGTCATACCTGTTTGAAGACATCTGCACAAGGAAGTGGATCCTGCTCCCCAAACCACTGACTGCCCACAAGCTCTGAGGTGGCAGATACAGAAACAGCACCCATGGCTAAGTTGGGCAGTTGCTCCTTAAGGGCCCCAACCATCTATGGAACTGGAACAAATCAGGGTGCACTGAGCTCCTGCAACATAATTTCAGTGCTGTGTTCTGTGCACTTCTGAACAATTCTGTCAAAACACTGAGCTTGGAGAGCTGAACGTGAATACATCTCATTCTAAAAGTCATAGCCAATACTCAACACCTGGTGGGCCCTGGGCAGTGCACTCCAATGGAAGGATGCGGTGTTAGTGGAAAGCTACTCCACGGGCCAATTCTCAGGACGTGACTCCAGGCGGGATTGTCTTATCAGGAACTGTTCTGTTTGGAGTGTGTCCCAGGTGGCACTAAGACACTGATAAGAGCTATTATAGTCAGAATTGGACCATGAGTATATAAGCAGTGGTTCCTGTCTGTTGCTGCACACCTTCCACTCGTCCTGCCTTCCCCACTGACTTGGGAGCCAGGAGGAACCATGAAGTGGCTGCTGCTGCTCGGCCTGCTGGCACTCTCTGAGTGCGTCATCCACAAGTGAGTTTGGGGTTGGGCAGTGGTAGGAGTATCTCAAGGGGCAACTTCCCAGCCTCCTGTCTGTCCTGAATCTCCTTTTCTTCTTCCCTGGGACCCAACTTCTTGAGTTTTCTGGTATCTCTCTCCGCCTTTATGAGGAGGACACACTGAGGCATGGTTTACAGCCCAGGCCCTGAGTGCAGCCAGGGCTTGGTTTTAGCCCCGCCCCTGGCCAGTAGTCACTTCTCTATGCGCACTATACGGTAACAGATGGGAGCTTCCCCCCTTCCTTCCTTCCCTTCTGTGGAACCAGGTTCCTCACCTTTCTTGGGTTTCTGTAGCACCCTCTGAGCAGATTCCTTGCCCAGTTGTCCTTCCTCCTGTAAACATGCCTGCACCAATGCTCTGCCCCAGGGTCCCCCTGGTCAGAAAGAAGTCCTTGAGGAAGAACCTGATTGAGAAGGGCTTGCTGCAGGACTACCTGAAGACTCACACCCCCAACCCGGCCACCAAGTACTTCCCCAAAGAGACCTTCGCCACGGTGTCCACTGAGAGCCTGGAGAACTACCTGGATGTGAGTGCATGGGCAGGTGGAAGGGGCAGCCCCAAGGACTGAGCCAGAGCATGAACAGGGAGCTTGGGTGACAGTCAGAGACTCCACCTGATCTCAGGGAGACAACAGTAAATAAAGGCATTGTTGGGTGGGGGAGAAAGACGACCTCACTTGGTCTCAGCATCTGGTGAGAGGCAAGACTAGGATGTGGGACACCAAATGATAATGTCACTCAGTGAACCAGTGCCTTGAATGACAGAGATGACTCCTGGGAGCACTGAAATAAGAAAAGGGGTTTCCAAGTGGTTGAGGGACTCCAGAGAGCAGGAGGGCTCATGTAAACCTGTGGGCACAGGGAGCCAAGTACCTTTGGGGAAAGAAGAACAGAGTTCATGAAAAGGGTGGAGAAGAAAGGAGGGTTCAAGTGAGTATGAGGGGCCATGGGTGGGGCAGACCACAGAGAGGCCAGGGCATGAGCTTTAATTGCCACAGATTGATTTCAATCAGTGGGGAAATGCAATCAGATTTTAGTCTCAAGACCTCTTTTTATTTGGGATGCTTGGCACATACTGACCACCAGTAGACACCATGTGTCCTCTGTGTGAACAGCACACAGCCAAGGGCAAAAACACCATTACCAGTGGTCAAGGCTTCACCTGCAGGATCCACCAGACCTCTGCTAATGGGGGCTCTAATGCCTCCTGACCTGGTGATCTTGGCCAAGTCATTTACATTTCCTGAGCCTCAGGGTCCTGTCCTAGAGAGCTGACCCACTCACAGCCATTATCCACTGCAGCTGGGGCTACAAGTCATTAACACCATAGAGATGCTGGGAGTGCTCAGCACAGCCTGCAGGCCTTTGGTAGAACTCAGAGATATCGGCCCATTTATTCATTTCACATATATTTACTAAGCACCTGCTAGAGGCTGACACATTCTGAGATCACAACAGTGAGTGAGCCAAGGGCCTGAGGCTTTTATACAAGAGAACAACCAGACTGACAGATGAAGTGAAGTAATGAGACGGTCCACAGAGTAAAATGTATTATGTAATTAATTGCGCCAAAGCGATAAAGCAACACAGAGGAGCGGGCAGAACTGGTTGAAGTGGTAGGGCAGACTTTCTGGCAGAGCTGGCATTTGATGAGAGTGCCAAGTGATTCATAAGGAGGAAGCCAAGGGGAGACCCCGAAAAAACACTTTCCAGCTAAAGAATGGCCACTGCAAAAGCCCTAGCATAGGAAGGAGCTTGTTCTGGTCTGTGAAAGGCACAAAGACCAGGGTAACTAGAGCAGAGCTAGCCAGGGGGAATGTGGTGATATTGAGAATAAAATCACTGACAGGTCCATTTTTTTGAAATCTGCGGTCCACAGTGACATTTGGGAATAAGAGATTTCCATTGGTTCTCATGCTTAAGTGACTTGTGTGTCTCCTTATCAGCAACTATTGTACAAGCATGTGAGGCCTGACTGGCTGGGTGCCCACAGGGTATGCCTCATCCTCTGGGAAGATCTACTCTGTAGAAGGTTCAGAATGACACAGGCAGGGCACTGGCTAAGAGGGTGTAAATGTGCTTAGCAGAGAACAGTCAGAGGCAATCAGGGAGCAACCGGAGAAGACTTCAAGGAGGGAATGGAGGCCAGGACTGGGCTTTGAAGGAGGGTGCACTGGATGAGGAGGTTAGAATAGAGGAGATGATGCAGAGTTTGACTGAGGAGCTGGCCCCCAGGGAGGATGGATGGGGTGACCAGGTGCTTGAGCTACACTGTCCTGACCCCTGCAGGCTGAGTACTTTGGCACCATCAGCATCGGAACCCCCCCTCAGGACTTCACCGTCATCTTTGACACGGGCTCCTCCAACCTGTGGGTGCCCTCCACCTACTGCTCCAGTCTTGCCTGTGGTGAGTACCTGGGCCTGCCTGGCCTGCCTGGCCTTTGCTGCCCAACACCAGCTGACACTGGGAACCCTGACCACTCAGGGACTTCTCACAGCTCCAACTTCAGCCTGCTGCAGCCATTCAGACATTCACACAAGATGCCTTCTCTGGGCAGTTACTAGGATCAGTGTTTGGGACACGTGCTCTGTGGGATGAAAGGATGAATAGATGTGCTCAGATGGATTTGACCGTACTGGCTGCTGTACTCAGGGTTTGCTGGAGGAATCTCTGAAGGACATGGAGTAGCCTGGGACTGTCCACCATGACATGGTGTTGACAACAAAGTCAGGAGAGGACCAGGGTTCTAAAGGTCCTGTTGGGGCAAAGGTCACCTTTCTCCTCCAAACCCCAAACGAAGCCAAGAAACCCCATCAAAAAGGCATAAAGAGCCCACTTGCTTGCTTGTCCTTTGGAGGTTAATGATGTGGCTTCTTGCTTTGCAGCCCTCCACAAGCGGTTCAACCCTGAGGACTCCTCCACCTACCAGGGCACCAGTGAGACTCTCTCTATCACCTATGGCACTGGCAGCATGACTGGCATCCTGGGATACGACACTGTGAAAGTGAGCACCTGTGGTCCCTGCCCCCTCACTCTGCCAGTCCTAGGGCCAGCTTCCAGGGACATGGGGAACCACAGTGAATCCCCCAGAGTAATCCTTTCAGCAAGATGGGTTAAGAGATCATACGAGCAAACTAACTAGGTGGTGCAAGGGGTGATATGGCAAGGCTGTCACACACCCTTGGGCTGAACCTTATGTAGATAAGGGGAGTGGTATCCGGAGCATTCGGCCAATCGCAATGCTGCATATCATGGAGGAATCAGGGATTGGTGACAGAATGGCTAAAATGGCTAGTATCTTCTCTTCTGCCACCGCTCCATAGTCACATGAGCTCCACAAACCCCACAGGGCATGGCAGTGTCACACTGTAGCTATCTGGACATCAGCTCCAGGACCTATCCACTGGGGACCCTCAAGCATTCAGATAGTCCCTCTCTTGGCCTCCCAGCCTGATGCCGGGAATGCTGACTCCTTCAGGAAATGAAGCAGGATTGCTCTGCTTCCAGGACAAGAGATTGGCAGTGTTCTGTTGACAAGTGTTCATGGTGGACATCATCTCTGTCCCCCCTACACAGGTTGGAAGCATCGAAGACACCAACCAGATCTTTGGCCTGAGCAAGACAGAGCCCGGCCTCACCTTCTTGTTTGCTCCCTTCGATGGCATCCTGGGTCTGGGCTACCCCAGCATTTCTGCCTCTGATGCCACACCCGTCTTTGACAACATGTGGAACGAGGGCCTGGTGTCCCAGGACCTCTTCTCCGTCTACCTGAGCTCGTAGGTTGGCTATTTGGGGCCTCTCCCACATGGACCATTTTCACCTGGTCCAGGAAAGAACTTATCCAGGGCTGGGTGGGCTGGGGAGGATCTTAGAAGAATGAAATTTTCAAAGTCGGTGTCAATGTCTGGAGAAAAGAGTCTTTGGGCAGTAATTTTGCCAACTCTCTCTCCCTCACACACACACACATTCTCTCTCTCTCTCTCTCTCTTCCCTCTCCCTCTCTCTCTCTCTCTCTCACACACACACACATACACACACACCATCTTCATGCACCGTTATTTACCAGCATATGTCCTTGTCCCTGGACTTGACTTAACTCCAGTGTCCCTAGCCAGTTGCTCTCTGGAATTGGTTCCCTCATAATTGGCCTTTAAAACATGCCAAGTAGAGGGAAACTGCCTAAAGCAGGGCTCAAAAATCACAGCAAAATATCACAAGACTTGATGTGACTTAGGAGGGGACTTCAACGATTATGGACAAAGAAATTCAAAGATACATTTAGGGAGTGGTGAAGTCTCTGCTCAGGTACCCACATTCCATGTGGAATACTTGGTCTGAGTCCAGACGCCACTGCTTGTTCTTCAGCTTCCTCATGCTGAGCACCCTGGTACAGTATGTGGTGACTAGGACTCGGGTCTCTTTCCCCAACCTGGAAGACTCAGACTGAGTCCTGGTGCCTGGTTCCAACCTGAGCAAATGGGTACAGTTGAGGACATCTGGGGACTGAACAAGTGGATGATACTTTTCAGTCTCTCCTTATCAGTCTGCCTTTCAAATTAAAAAAAAAGTTTACAATAGAACAAATATGCTTAAATCCAGGCATAGTTTTTTGTTAATTTAACACTAATTTTCCTTGAAAATTTTGCAAACCCATTGACTGCACAGATTCCAAAATTTTTAGCACTGATATAAAATTCCTTTAATGCTATTTTTCTAGGAGCTTTTTGATGTACCCTCATATATCTTGAACACTGAAATTATAAAGTAATGCGACAAGCTTCTTTTTTATTATCCAAATGTAGGGTCAAAGAATGAACAAAGAATAGACCAGGTAGGCTTTGGCTGAGTAGACTTTTACGCAGGACTCAAGGCTGTCAACAACTTTCTCTACCACTCACTGTCTTCTCTTGACACTGCTGGTCACCATTCATGTTTTCCCTCAGGTAGTAACTAATCTGCTACATGCTGACTGCACGCTCACGTGTTTACAGCAAAGCTTGGTGGGTTAAAGTCAGTGGGATTGTGTTTCATAAATGGCCAGTCGTTGACTAACTTCTTATTGCCCTCTATATTTGCAACCTTACCTACCAGAAATGGTGGAGATTTAGAAAATGGATTTTCCAATAACAAAGCTTCCAGTACAAGGGCTCTTACATTCTTTATTGCTCTAAAACACTCACTATTCAGTTTCTCTTAAATATCACCTGCTTCCATAAAGGCCAAATTATTTCTGTGGGCCAGTGCATCTCCCCACTAGACAAAGGTGGCTCCAGCTCAGCAGAATGGACATTTTGGTTCAGAGCATTGTCCAGGCTGACTTATGCTCTGTTTACAGTGTGTGGCAGATCCCTGACCCTGACTATGACCCCTTACAGTATCCCTTCTACCCCCACACAACCATGACAATAAGAAATTTGTCCAGACATTCGAAACACCAGCCCTGGGCGAGAACCAGGGTATATAACATGGAGTCCTTAGGAATCAACCCTATCCTGTATTCACCTCTGTTGTGTTCCCCATGGCCTCTAATGGGTATCCAGGTACAAACTACACATTTGGGAACCACAATTTCTAGGCCTTGCTTTTGGTTGCCGTACCCCTCTGTGTGAACCTGAGCAAGGGTCCTTATGTTTTCGACCCTCAGAGTCTTTGTAAAGTGCAAATAATAATACTGACCACTGTGTAGACTTGGTATAACACGAAAGGAACTCATGTCTGTGACATATTCAGCACAGCTCCTGGCACTAATGACTATCTCTTAAAGGGTAGCTCCTAGGCTGTACATAAGAGCTATGCAAACCATGAATGAGTGAATTCCTGTATGTCTCCCTCTACTTTCCACAGTGATGATGAGAAGGGCAGCCTGGTGATGTTTGGAGGCATTGATTCTTCTTACTACACTGGAAGTCTGAACTGGGTGCCTGTTTCTTATGAGGGCTACTGGCAGATCACCATGGACAGGTGAGACCACACTGCTGGATGACATCCCGTCCTGGGCCTGGTCCCATTCTTTACATGCCCATAGGAGAGTTGCTGTCCCCATCTGCTGGAAAAGCCAGCACAGGAGGAAGCTGGAAATTGGCCAAGCCAGAGAGAGCCCAGGAAAGTCCCCTTATAGGAAGGGGAGGCAAAAAGGACTGACTTGGAACCAAGTTCCTCTACAAGGATCAGATAGCCAATTACTTGTGTCCAGTAGGCAGGCTTACCTCCTGCACTCACAGTGAGGCTTAGCAAACCCATATAGCCATACATCTCAGCATTTAGGGAACCTGGGAAGCATCAGACAACATCACTCTCTAGGAAGAATGTCAGTGCAGACTAGGATTAGGAACAAATGACATACCTGTCCTGGCCCTGTTCTAGTCTGACTTCCCAACTGCTTTGTCCTCTGAGGAGTGACAATCCGGGTCACAGGTGTAACTCCTGGGGACTCAGGGGACGCTTCTTTGCATCTCTCCCTCAGCATCTCCATCAATGGAGAGACCATCGCTTGTGCTGATAGCTGCCAGGCCATTGTGGACACGGGCACCTCTCTGCTGGCTGGCCCCACCAGTGCCATTTCCAACATCCAGAGCTACATCGGAGCTTCCAAGAACTTATTGGGCGAGGCAAGTCAAGCCTAAAATGTTCTTCTCTAGATCAAGTGGTAGGAGTGCCATGCTGCAGAAGGAACCCCTGGTAACCCTCCCACCCTCCCACCTTTCAGAATGTCATCAGCTGCTCTGCCATAGACTCCCTGCCTGACATTGTCTTCACCATCAACGGAATCCAGTACCCTCTGCCTGCCAGTGCCTACATCCTGAAGGTAAGGTGGCCCTGGGCCAGCCCCAGGAGTGGCCCACACATAGCTGGTCACACTACCCCTCTGCACAAGAGAGATAACACTTTTCCCAGCTGAAGCTAAGAGAAAGACTAATACCTGCTCTTCATGGTCTGTAGAGAAACTGCATGAGAGTGACCACATCGTTACTCCAATGAGCCACAGAATTTCTCCATGCCATCCACTTACTGTCAGGTGCAAAGCCAGTTTTCCCAGTGAGCTGACTTCCCTCAGTGAGGACTCACATGTGGCCCTCCCCGGCGTGATTCTAACATGCAGCCCAGGCTGCAGCCCTATAACCCAGGGAGAGGAAAGGACTCACAGCTGCCAGTTAACCACTGGCATGGAGGAGAATACTGCGGAACAGCAACAGCATCAGGGTTTCCTAATGTCCTTAGAGAGAATCCTACTTCCCCTAAACTCCTTTGCTAAGGTCAGGGGTTTGTGTCTTCCAAAGGCACCAGATAACATCCAGAATCCCTGTGCACCAGCAGTGCAGTAAGCAGCTGCTGCTACACCCCAGGTCTGCAACAACCACAGCCCGGGACACAGAGCCAGGAGGCCCTCCTCTGCCTCAGCCTTGCAGTCAGACCAGGGAGGCCGTGATGTTGAATACCCAGCCCCTGTCACCCTGACCCTCCCTCTTGACTGCTGTGCTGCCCTCTGTTCTGCAGGAAGATGACGACTGCATCAGTGGCTTGGAAGGCATGAACCTCGACACCTCTACCGGTGAGCTCTGGATCCTGGGTGACGTCTTCATCCGCCAGTACTTCACCGTCTTCGACCGGGCCAACAATCAGCTGGGCCTGGCTGCCGCAGTCTAAGCCTCCAGCTTTGAAGCCACATCCAGAGATATCTGGCCCCAGCCCTGCACCCCTTAGATGGACAGAATTCTCCTGACTGCCCTTCCTGAAACACAGTCACCTTCAATAGTAGTAGATGCTGACCCTGTTCCCACCCATTCCCATAAAGTAGAATAAAAACAGCTCGTGAAAATGTGGGTGTGACTCCTCCTCATTAGGACGTCTCCTTCACATCACTGGGGTCACTACACCAGTCAGACATGCAGAAACAAACATGTCCACTAGACATGGTCAACCACAGTGACATTTCATAGCAGGGAAGGAGGACAAGTGGGCATTAACTGGTCCTGCTGGGAGTGTCAGAAAAAGACCTGGGAACCAGAAAGCCTGGGCTCATTTTCTCCACACAGAGGAGGGCACGTAGGCCTGTGCATGTGTGAGTCAGCTGCTATTTCTAAAAATAATAAAACAGGAAGGAAGAAAGGAAAAAAGGGAAGAGGTAAGAAAAAAAGGAAAGCAAGTGATTGTCCACCTATGACTTAATGATAGTGCTTCCTCCTCTGCGAGGAAACCCATGTGCTAGTCCTGTACTCCTTGGCAAGTGCACTGGAAAAAAATTGTAAAGTTTCTTCCCCTGCTGTCAGGCCCCAGGTTCTCTGCAGGAGTTCACCTGAGGGCTGGTGCTAGCTTCTGGCATGTGTTAGTGTGAACTCTACAAACCAGTACCGAGGCCATCCCCGTGTCAACTCACCACCCCTACCAATTTGCCACAGTGTCAGAGTCAGTCCCATCCACTCTACCCATTTGCACAGGTGCGTGTCTTTTTAGAAATATAAAGTCGATCCCATCCTTCTTTTGCTTAAAATTCAAGTGAGAGCCTCAGATTGTATTAGGAACAGAACAACACACTTTGGAATGGATTTTGTGGTTCATCTGCATCTTCCTTGCCACACTTGATCCTGTTGCCCCAAGTTCCCACGACACTGGTGGTCTCAGCATTCTGTGAGAAGCTTAAGCTTTTCCCACCTCCACACCTCTCCATATGTGGCCATCACCCCTGCCTCCCGGCATCTGCACTAGCAGGTATTCAAATCAAACCCAGGTGCTCCGCGTGGGACACGGGCATCTTAGCTGCTAGGACAAACCTTCACCCTGACACTCAGTTCTTGAAACAGCTCTGATAACTTGGCTGTGGGGCAGCTCCCAGGATAAGGGAAATCAACACCTTGGAGCAGGCTTCTGACACCATCCCTTGATCTCACACTGTGTCCAGAACCCTAAAGTAGAACCCAAGGTCAGGCAAATGTGTTCAGTCTCCATCCAAGAATAAACCCTCAGGCTTGTTTGAGCTCAGGCTGCAGAGAGCTCATCCAAGGAAGAGCAGTTTACACTCAGCTGTGGTCCTCATGGTGGTCTGAAGCCCTCTCGTGGCAGCCTGTCCTGGACATGTAGCCATGCACACGGAGTTGTCTCATTGGCAGAAAGGTCTTTTATGTCCTCAGGAGGCCATGGCCAGACACATGGTCCTCTGCAGATGGCTCCTGCACCTCCTCCTTAGGAGGCTTCCTGTGCCTGGAAGCAGGCAGACAGGAAGCAGGCAGGGTCATTGGGTGGGACCTGCTACAGGCCTGGTGAGCAAGCAGCCCAGGAGCTAGCGCTGTGGTTTGAATACAGTTTCACCTCTCACACATGCAGCTTCATCCTCCAAGTCATTTGTCCCAGATAGGAAAGGGGTGGATGCCTACTCAGATTTGGGGTTTAGAGGAGAGCCCTTGGCAAGTAATTCAGCTTTGATAAGGTCATTCAGGGAGCACTCATGTTTGAATCCCAGGACCTTTGTAAGACGAAAAACAGACCTGCCCATCACCTGTCTCAGGGTGCCACATCTGTGCCACCCCAGGTCTCTGCCAACAGGAAAGTCTTCATGAGAACTGAGACCATTCAAAGGTCATGACCTTGAGCTACTAAACTGTGAACCTAACAAACATCTTTCCTGTATAACATTACCTTTCCTCAGGGATTCCCTTAGAGTAATAAAAACCAGATGAGAACTGCAGGCCTCAGAGTGCGGATAATTACGGGGACAACTTCCACTGCGTCTCACACCTTGGGGAAGATCCTGAAGTTGGGTGATGCTGTCCCCACTAGGTCCCAGCAGGACCGACTGCCCAGCAATGAGTGGCTAGTTAACATGCCTCGATTGACCTTCTCCCCATGACTCTCACTCAAACATTTATCTCCAGCTCTGATTTGGCAGAACCCAAACACAGTCGATGTAATTATGGTGCCCACCATGACTGTGGCAAACAATTGTTCGCCTGAATTCCCACATAAGAACCTGCTTAGGTAGTTGGTCCCTAAATATACACCAAAAACCCAGAGTAAGTTCCGGGCCTAAGCCAGACCCCAGCTATTATGCCATTTATAAAGTGACCCCGTGAACAAGAAATATCTTTCTGTTCTCTTTTACCCTCTCTGGCTGTCTGTCTCTTTGCTTTTCAAATAAATAAAATTAAGACAAAAAATACATCTTAGAGAGCGTATTTGGCATTCCAGTTAAGACACCACCTGATACACCCATATCCAATATCACAGTACCTGGGTTCAAGTCCTGGCTCTGCTCCTGACCCCAGCTTCTTGCTAAGCTGCACACTGGGAGGCAGCAGGTGATGGCTCAAGTACTTGAGGCTCTGCCACCCAAGTGGGGGACCAGGAGTGAGTTCACAACTGCTAGCTTCAGCTTGGCCCCAGCTGTTGCAGGCAACTGGGAGTGAATCCGAAGTTGGAAATATCATTCTCTCCAGGTGTCTCTGTTTTTTAAACAAGCGAACAAACAAACACATAATTTTAAAAAATATCCTTGGATTAAAACTATTTTGCATCAAAATCAATTTAATTCTTAAATCCATTTTTCAAGTATGGAAGGCTAGATAAATCTAAGTGCTATGCAGGTAACTGTTATAGAGTATTATTTAAGGAATAATGACCAGAAAAATAAAAGCCTACACATATACAGTATGGGTCTGACTTTCCCTTCAAATATTTTCCTTTGCAGTTGGTAGGGTATGCGGATGTGGAATTCAAGGACATGGAGCGACACCTGTCCTCACGGCACGGGGACACAGCCCTGTGTCCTGCCCCAGCTCAGGCCACTGCTGCCTCTGAGCTCCACAGGGGTTTGGCTGGGGCTTTGGCCTGCCCTGTGGCAGGACCCTTGTTCACTCTTTGCATCCTCCTCACCCACAGCTGTTTGTGTTGAAGACAGGCCTATGTGCCCAGGGATCCATCCACCCTAGATGCTCCTTCCCAGGTACTCAACCTGCGTAGCCTTCTTCAGTGTCCTCCCCACTCACTTTAGAGGGCTCGCAAAGTCAGAGGCCCCCAGGGCCTTACAGGAGACCCGCCCAGCCCAGCCCTGGCTTGGTGCAGCCTTCTCTGCCAGCAATGGGTTAACTGGGGAACTCCTTCTCTACCTATGGTTTGGAGTTGGGATTCCCCCTCCCCACAGGTGAGAAGGCAATGACCAGAGTGTCCTCGGGAAACTGAGACCACCTCTAATCAGGAAACCTCGGGAGATGATGGGTGGCACAGTCCCAGGGGAGCCCCAGGCCCCTTCTGCGCCTCCTCCTCTGCAGGCCACCCTTGCGCAGGGCACAGGTGCCAGGGGCCCAAGGAGGATCCTGGAGCACACATCTGCATAATTCCACAGCGCTGGGCAAACGCCTTCAGGGAGCAGCTTCTGGTCAGCCGTGGGGGTGTTTGTCCTTGCTAGGAAGCCACATATCGAACTCAGAAGCTGACCTGCTTGGTCTCTGAGCTGCAAGCCTAGAGCCATCTGTCCAGAGATCCCCAGGCACAGACCAAGCTTACAAGGAAGCCTTTTTGTCCCTTGGGGTCTCCACTGGGGGCTGCTTGGGTCCCTGGGCAGGCTGCAGCCACAGGGGCTTCTGGGAGCCAGATGGGTGGGGGCCACAGTGGTTGCTGGGAGTGTGGAGGTGGAAGGAGAGTGACTGAGAGGCCAGAGGTGTGCATGGAGGCCTCCACTGGGCTGCAGTGGGGCAGGCAAAGTGCTGAGACTTTAGGCAAGAGAGTGGTGGGCACACAAGGCCACATGGACACTGTTTGGGTCCCAGAGGATGAGAAGGGGTCCTCTGGAGTGACAAGAATTGGCCAAGGAGCCCAATGGAATGTCAGGAGGTGGCATGGAGACTCCTGGAGGCATCTAAGGCCTTGGTGAGAGCTGAGGAGACTGAGAGACTCTGGACTGTCCTGGGGACATGTCCTCAGTTCCCCGAGTGGGTGAAGTAGGCACTGGGTTTCCTGAGGGGCTGGTGGATGGAGTCCGTGTGTCAGACAAGTTCATGTCCAGAGCAGCTGCAGGGGAGGGATAGCGGGCCTGGCAGGAGATGCCAGTGGGGGCCCCGGGCAGGAGCTGCAGTTGACAGGACTCATGGTTTCTTCCCAGGGGCTCCTAGCAGCATTGCCCAACTCCACATCTCCATGAGGATCAGGGCCCTGCTATTCCTCTACAGCAAACAAGAACACTAGAAAGTGATCAATTTCAGTTCACAACTGATCATACTGATAGGTCTAAGAGTCAAAGGGATCACATAAACAAGACTAGTGTCTGAAAATACTAACTGAGAGAATTAAAAAGGAGAGAACGATCCAACATGGGAAGCGGGATACACATCAGACTCATAGAATGGCAGATTTCCTAAACAGCACTCTGGCCTCAGAGTCAGCCCTTAAGGCATTCAGATCCAGCTAAAAAGCCCATTGAGAGAATTTTAGGCATGGAAAGCCAAGACATTGTGGGGAAAAAATGACCTAAATGAAAGATCTCTGTGAGTGAGAGCCCAAGTGGAAAGAACAGGTCATCAAAGAAGGAGGTACCTTTCTCTGAAGGGAGGAGAGAACTTCCATTCTGACTACGACCTTGTCTAAATATAATCAGAGTCAGTGAACTCAGGAGGCTTCCATAGCCTTGGCAACTCATGACAAGAGCTTAGGGTGATTACTGATGCCATATAAACAAGAGTGTCAAATTGTTAAGTCAACAACAGGAGTTACTGTGCTCTTACTCCTCATGTAGGATCTCTGTCCTTAATGTGTTGCACAGTGTGAATTAATGCTATAACTAGTACTCAAAAGAGTGTTTCTGTGTGGGTGCAAACTGTTGAAATCTTTACTTTGTATATACTATATTGATCTTCTGTATATAAAGATAATTGAAAATGAATGTGAATGGGATGGGAGAGGGAGTGGGGGATGGGAGGGTTGTGGGTGGGAGGGAAGCTATGGGGGGCGGGGAACCACTGTAATCCATAAGCTGTACTTTGGAAATTTATATTTATTAAATAAAAGTTAAAAAAAAAAACAACAACAAAACAAAACACTAGAGTCAGGGACAGAAGGACTGCACAATGGTGCCCCCTGGTGGCCCACGTGGATCTGGACAAGTTGCTGGGATCCCATCCAAAAGGAACCAGGAATGGAGAATACCGCTTAGCCAAGTGGCTCTTCCAGGGACTCACGAGGTGACCTTGGGCAGGGCATATAGGTCCTCTGACTATGGAAACTCTAATTTCCATTGATTTTTCTATTAACCTAACACTGCTCTAAAAAGTACACTCTAGTAAAAAAAAAAGTGTTATATTCTCAGTCAGGAGCATGGAACACACACAGGGCTCAGTGCACAGAAGACAAGGAGAGGAAGATGCTATGTAGGAAGCATTAAGAGAGGGAGGCAGTGAAGGGACGAGAGGACACTGAAGGGTGACAAGGAAAGAGAAATTGTCGGGCTCATTCAAAAGCCAGAGTGACTGTAGGTAAAAACCATTGAGAGGCTGATTGCAAATTCTGTCCTAGGCTAAACACCACAGAATCATACACTAAAACCTGCAAATTGTATGGCTTAGGAGTTCCATCTCAGGAAAAATGCTATTTTTTTAAATTAGAAGTAAACAGTTAAAATTCTACTTCAATACAAAGTTAGTTTTTCTTAAATGGATATCTAGTTAGGAACAGGCATGCGATAAACACCCTAAGTGTGTGCCAGGAAAAGGAGCTGGACTCCGTAAGTTCCCTCTTTGCGCCTCTGTTTCCCTACTTGGAGGCAGGAGAGGATAGCACATAAGGGCACAGGGTGAGAAATAAGAAAGGGAGAGACCCAGGCTTCAATCAGTTCAACACTCCACACTAGAAAGTTAACCATTCCAAGTCTCTATCTGCCCACCTGCAAGACAGAGCAGTCGCAGTCACAGCCGTGGGCAAACGGGGCTGTGAGCGTGTAAGTGAGACAGCACAGGTGAAATGCTTGGGACACCTGGCACATTGGCTACCAGATCATTTTGAGAATTCTGGGGCAATGACAGTGGCCACCTTGCAGAGGAGTGAGCATCAGTTAAAATGAAGCAAAATCTACAAAGTGCACATACCGCTCATCCTCCCACTCTGCAAGCAGCTTAAGCTTTTCCCACCTACACCCACTTCCCTATGCTGCCGTCAGCACTGCCTCCTGGGGACTGCATTAGCAGGAAGCTGGACTCTGGAGCCGCATATCAAACCCAGGGGCTCTGCTGCAGAATGCAGGCACCTTACCTGCTAGGACAAACCCTACACCGATGATCAGTTTTCTTGAAATGGTTCTGATCACTTGGGCCTTGGGGCAGCTCCCAGGGCCAGGGGAATCAACACCATGGCGCAGGCTTCCAACACCATACCCTCGTCTCATACTATGTCCAGAACCCTAAAAGTGGAATCCAAAGTCAAGGAAATGTGTTGTGTCTCCATCCAGGAGCAATACCCTCATGCTGTTGGAGACCAGGCTGTAAGAAACCACACCTAGCCGGCGCCACAGCTCACTAGGCTAATCCTCCGCCTTGCGGCGCCGGCACACCGGGTTCTAGTCCCGGTCGGGGCGCCAGATTCTGTCCCAGTTGCCCCTCTTCCAGGCCAGCTCTCTGCTGTGGCCAGGGAGTGCAGTGGAGGATGGCCCAAGTCCTCGGGCCCTGCACCCCATGGGAGACCAGGATAAGTACCTGGCTCCTGCCATCGGATCAGCGCGGTGCGCCAGCTTCAGCAGCCATTGGAGGGTGAACCAACAGTAAAGGAAGACCTTTCTCTCTGTCTCTCTCTCTCACTGTCCACTCTGTCTGTCAAAAAAAAAAAAAAAATCACACCTGAGCTCAACAGGAAGAGCAGTTTATACTCAGCTGGGGACCAAATGACGGTCTGGAGCCCTCTGGTGGCAGCCAGGGCAGGTCAGGCAGCAGTCTACTCCAGGGGCATCCCATGGGCAGAGCATGTCTTACATATCACCTGGAGGCTTAGCTCAGCCCAAGATCCTGGCAGATGGTTCCTGCACCTCCTCCCCTGGAGTCTTCCAGTGCCTGGGAACAGGCAGGCTCCTTCAGTGGGGCTAGCTGCAGTCTTAGAGAGCTGGCAGAACCAGGAGCCAGTGTTGTGCTATGAACCCAGTGTCACCCCTTACCAAGATCTCCAGCAGTTTCCTCCACAAAGCAATATGTCCATGGGTGAACATGTCCTGTGACCATGGTGTCCAGAGGTGTCCTCTGGGAAGTGAGTAGGTTAAGATAAGATCATTGGGGGCTGGCGCCGCAGCTCAATAGGCTAATCCTCCACCTACAGCGCCGGCACCCTGGGTTCTAGTCCTGATCGGGGCACCGGATTCTGTCCCGGTTGCCCCTCTTCCAGGCCAGCTCTCTGCTGTGGCCCGGGAGTGCAGTGGAGGATGGCCCAAGTCCTTGGGCCCTGCACCCGCATGGGAAACCGGGAGAAGCACCTG